TTATTGGCTGAACAGATGGGGGCTTTTGACAAGTTGAGGGCTGGGGTGGGTGCTTTGCTGCTTCTGAAGTAAATTCTCTAGCCATCTCAACAGAGTCTGGCCAAACAGAGCACACTCCCCACAGCAGTATTAATCCTTATGGAATGACGGCAGAGTTGTGAGACTCTTCAATGTGCTGGTGTGCTTTGTCTACTCATCTGTTCTTCTTGCATGATGTTGTGTTCTGCTCACTTCTTTTTTCCATGAGTGTAGTATAAGCTCTATTGGCTTGCCTCACCTACCAGTAAGCTGTTTTGATCCTTTGTATGTGCTTCATGTGTATTAGACTGTGTGCATGCCTGTATACAACACTCCACTAAGAACATAATGTTCTAATGAACAGGAATTTGAAAGATTGGAGGGAAGCCTGCAGGTCCTGCAGAAGCAGAAGGAGATGATCACCCAGGAAAAGATCTTGGCAGAAAAGCTGCAGCATCACTTTGAGGTTTCCCAAATGAGGTAGGAACCCAGGCTGGGCGGAACAGGTGGAGCCAAGTGGGTCCCTTGTTGCTGGGATCACTGTCATTTATGGGGTCCTACTGACATGCATGGCTCCCAGCTACAAGCAGGGCAAGAACACTTCAGAGTATTGTTCAGGTTGAAATAACAAACAATTCTGTCCAGGAATCAATATGTTTAATACTCAGAGTCTCAGCAATTGTGTCCTTTCTCTCTTCTGAGTGCTCTGGTATGACCTGAGTAGGCTTTCCTTATAGTCACAGAGATCTGCCTGATTCTGCCTCCCCATGATGGAATTCAAAGTTATGCATCACTTAGGAACATCCTCTGTTGAAAAGAGATTCCTAACTTTGAATACTGCTCTGTGCAGCCTTTTCCCATTTCCTGGGACAAGTGTGCTCTGGATTAAATAGGTTAAGGACTTTCCAGAATGAACCCAGGCAAATGCCTTAGCTGCAGGGAAGATCAGAACTTTTTCAGGAGTGTTCTGTAACAGACTGTCAAAGAGTCAGGATGCGGATTCCTAGCTCTAGTTAGGAAATCACAAATTTCTGTTTGATCCCAGAGTCCATCATGGCCAGTGTTCTCAGGCACACATCTCAGGAAATGCTGCTCTAGGATTCCTGACTGATTCTGTCTTGCATGTTGGTCATGTTCAAGGTGCCTCCTGGGCATGAGTTCTCAGCTATCTTCACTACCTTGTTTGAGTGTTCAGAATGCAAGGCTGTAATAAGGCTATCAATAAAATGATGTGGTTGATCATTAACTCATCATGCATAATGAGTGTCACTCCTATGCTGTTGACTATGTTATTAATAAGTTGTTGCTTTTACAATATGATGTCCCGAGACTGTGAGAGAAAGACCCTTTCGTTCTAGTAGAACAGAAAAACCATTAATCAGCCAAATTCTGACAGGTGTTTAGGGTTGAGGAAAATTCTAGGCCCAGTTACTCTGTGACTCTTATTCCTTGGGGGTACAAACAATGACTTCAGTCAAAGATCCATGTTGAGCATCCAGCACAGTTGAGGCAGTGGGAGGCAGCAGTTTAACATCTGACAATGGCAGGTGCCCAGCAGGATTGTGTCCTAACTGCCTTTTCCTCCTAGGTCAGAGAAACTGACACCTGAGCTGGA